GACATTCCCTTATTCTGTGAATTAACTCTGCTTATTAGCTTCTGTAAACATACACTTTTTAGCTTACTTGAATAATAGGGAAGATCAACTTAGCTGTCTGACCTTGTAGGCTAAGGACTGATACTCCCATACACTCATGCCAGGTGTGTTAGATATCCAAATAGAACTGTGTCGTACTCAAGGTTACAGGCTTCCTGCAAGATATCTACTAAGCATACATGGGGCTCTTTGAAAACTTGCAAAGGTCCAGAAACTCTATATTTGGGAGACAAAGGGGCTAGGGGGGATATAAAGATAGAAGTTCCTCCATGTTGCTTTGCTCAGACTTCAGAAGCAGTCTGGGCCTGCTAGCATAATAAAAGACTCCAAATTAATTGGCTCACTAAGGCGTCTTCCGTTAGGCTCGCTGATTTACAATATAACACTATCTTCTCTGCTTAGGGAGTAAAACTGTCCTTTTCTTCCTTTCCTCCTTTCCCCTCCCTTCCTGCACACTCTCTTTAGGAAGGTTTTTAACCAATTTCTCTCAAGTGTCTTTGGCTGGAGAAGATAATGGCTTGTTAGTTATAAGCTGACTGCAAATTGCCCTCACTGTCTAGTCTCCTTTAACTTTCCCATCTCAGTTTCCCTATTTATCCTGACCTGGAATCCTGTACCATGTTTGGTGATGCAAGACCTGGTCAGCTTTGGGTATGGTTCCCAAACTGTTGGCAAGATCCCGTGGGGCCCTTAAATGAGACAAGGGAGGGACTGGTGGTCAGGAGGTGCTGGGAGAATGAACAGGTAAAAGTGAGGCCAGATGACCCCAGAGAAGTGGTAAGAAACTATTTCATGAACCAAATTCCAAGTCAGGGGGGTAGCCTATCCTTGGGGAGGCTTTGAAGAATTCTGGGATGGGAAATGACACCAACAAGCTGTCACCCTGTCCACTGTGCCTCTCACCCCTGGCTTCAGGAGCACTTGCCAGCAGGACCTTCCTGTTCAAAAAGAGACCAGCCAGTGCTGGGCACACGTTTGTGACAGAACCAATGTTGGTTGATGTCCATGTGCTGATTTATTTAATCCAACAACCAGCTTTGAGCACAATGCATGCACTCTGTACAGAGGGACACTGAGCAACAGAGACATAAAGGAATCACCAGGTGATGACACTGCCTTGACGGCGGTCACCAACCTTTCGGACCTCATGGACTACCA